AAGGATTAAAAAATCAAACTGGCGTGTTGTGATTTATTTGAGAAGTTGGAAGCGTGGTCTGTGCACACATGTGCTGCCAAAAGTCAATCCTCATTCTGCTAGTCACCATTTAATGTTCTACATCAAATCCATTTTGAAGTGTTGAATGCACAGCTATGGAATCATGGGACTTTGGTACAATGAGCCCCCAAAAAGGTGCACTTGCATTCAAAGCCTGAGCATTTCAGCTTCTGTAAAGGATTCTCAAATCAACATAAACAACACTTTTAGTTCAAAATAATCTTTATTTCACCGTTTGAAACTGCTCGGTGTATGGCCTGCACGCTGTGGAGTATCGGTATTGAAGAAAGCTAAAATGTACGATCTGAAAAAAATAGGAGTCTTTTCAGCTTTGGTGATTGTTTTGCAGTCTACACAATGTTGGTATGCTCAACAAAAAGTCCTTTACAAAAGTTTGACAGGAAAGTCTACCAGTGCTCGACTGTCAGCGAGGTGAAAAAGAAATGTTGCATAACCTTGTGGTTCTTTTGAAACATTCTTCAGGTGAGCTTAGACCCAAAGCTACACAATGTTTTTCAGTCATGAAATAAACATTGTTTATTGTCATGAGAATGAATGGCACTCATGTCAAAAACAGCCTTGTTCAGTTGAAAGTGAATGAGAAAATACACAATAACTGCTGTTTATGAGCGGGTTCACATGAGTCCTAAAGTAAAGCTGAATCACTTTCTCTGGCTGTGCATTTTTGCAATATGAGATGCTCCTAAATAAATTGTGATCTGCCATCAGAAAAAGCTCAATTTAACCCAGGAAATGTATGGGAGGTAAGGCATGTTGCCAGAGAAATATGACAGCAACCAGGTTCTCTTGTCAGTGACACAGAGGGAATTTTGTGTTCAACTGAATTTGCAAATGTTGTCCTTGTACTACTCTAAACATTCTGTAGCATGTATAAGTATTACTTTCAGTACAGCATATGTGTGGGCCATGGCAGCAACATTAACAAAACAGACACAGACAGAAGCAGCTGTAAATTTTGCCATGTGATCATCTGTTGCATAAAATTTGACAGACCGTGATTTAAACAGATAAATCTGTTTAAACTTTGCTTTCATATGGGTTTTTCTCTAAATAGTAGAGGTAAAATCTGTTTCTAGGCATGTGTGCTAAATGAAAAAAAAAAAGGTCTGACCTCTGGCTTTTGCCTTTTCTTCACCCATTATCATCCACAGGAGTTTTATTGACCACAGAACTTTGTGTTGGCTTGATTTATTTTAATTTCTGTGACAAAACAACATGTAATGAGAACGCCTAAACTTCCTCTGGCACAAAGCATTAAGGGCAAATATAATAGCTGCTGGGTAAGTGAACATTGGTTCTCCTCTGTACATTGTACATTGTTGGAAACTTCAATAATCCAATAATAGAAATGTCTTACTTTACATTCAGCACGCCCTGAAAATGATCAAACTCAAAACAGAAACACTTCGCATTCATGCTGCTCTGCCACCCTCCCATGTGTCCACATGAGAATTTGTGTTAACACGGCAGCAGAGCAGCACTAATTTCTACCGACATTGTTTCCGTGGCTCAGACATATAATTTCAACACATCAATGTGCCATTCCAGATTAAGGCGTGTTAAAGATGGCGAACGATGGCCAACAAACACAGCCAAATTGAGTGGTAACCCAGTGAGTTTGTTGTTTTTGCTGAACATATTCTCAGGGGACCCTGCTGTGAACCCTACCCATTCACTGATCATTTAATGAAAGAAAATCTTTATAAAAAGCTAGAAATACAAATAAATTACACTATGTGTAAATTGACACGTAACCTTTGATGTCATGCCATTCAAAGCTTGAATGTTATAGTCAAAACTGGAAGTTGAATATAGGCAACAAAACCTCTGGACGCGGAATCAGAATAACAAGGAGAATATTTTTGCTGAAAAGAAATAGCTTTATTCTTACTAAGCAGTGTCTAAAGCAAAATATGTCACTCTACAACTTTTTTTCTGCTTCCAGGAGATTAGACGTGTCCTTGGATTTCTTTTTCCCTTCAAGCGCTTGATTGTCGCGTAGAGACAGAACTTTTTTCCACGGTATCTTTCATTTGATGATATCAAAGCTGCAATTCACATCTCACTGTGAACTTGAGGATATTGCACCCCTACGAAAAGGATCTCCAGTGTGTGTTTAGTGCCTCTTTAAATTTCCAGCGTATGAGATTTACTCTGTCCACTTCAATCAGCTTTTGTGTCCAACCGTGTTGTTAAAGTTATGCAGTTGAAATGGAACAAAGGTGTGATTAATGATGTGTCCTGCACATTTAAATGCTATCAGCAGGAGAGCTGAGTGGGAAATGCTTTGGAGACTAATTGAGGAAATCTTCCGGATTCATGCCAAAGAGATTAGACATATTTATTTTCTTATACGTTCAGCAATAAACTCAAAAACGTGTTTACTCTGTCGGTTGCAGTACCACTGTTACTAACCAGTTTGCTATGTCACATTCTGTTACAATGAATGTCACTTCATCAACCTTTGCCTGTTTGAGTAGATGCATTGTTTTGTTGACGTATGCAACAACAAGCCACCATACAATGTCCTGGAAACATTGCGTCCCCTGACCTGAAATGGGTTCATTTGTTTTAAAGCTGATGACAAATGTATTTGCACTGCTGCATGGATGACATGGGACCACCTGTACAGCCACAACAGGATTCAGGCATCCAGGAAGGACAAGAAGGATCACGCCACACAAAGTGGTATTGTTTTCCTCTTTGTGTTAGTTATTTTGTTTGTATAATGCTTCTGTTGTGTAAGTCCAGACCCAGATTCTGATCCTCTTAATATCAGCCAGAACTCGGCATCATGGGACCAGTTATTTTGTGGGTCTTGCAGCTGCTGGAGGGCTGCTCAGCAAATACTCTGAATACACACCTTGTACACACAAAATCAAAATGCACAACTCCCAAAGAGGAAGGATGTGTTTATTTGTTGGAGAGTTCAGTGAGAAGGGAAGACAGTAGAAATGAAATGCTCGAGTGTTTATATTTCAACCTTTAAACTGAGTATACACATGGAAGGCGGGGGATATTTACAATGAAATCATGCCATGATTATGCTGTTATGAGAGAAGCAGACATTCCTAAACTAGGCCAGGATACGTCATAAGATCGTGTCATACACATTTCCATTGGAACCAAGCAACCATGCACAGACGAAAAATCCAAAAAGGTTCAATTTGATCCATCGTCTCGTGGAATTTCCTCATAGGAACTGAGCATTCCAGACATGAATTATCCTGACTCAACTCGAGGCAGTTAAAGAAGCAGCTACGTTTTATTATGAAGCATTAAACCTCATTAGAGAGCATTAATGACATATTACTGTTGAGAACAGGAGATAATGATTGGGGTGTTGTTAAACCACAAAGAGGGTTATGGGAGCAGGGGTTAGCGTTTCACAGGGTTCAAAACATCTAAAACAAAGAAGAATGAAAGGAGGTTATGAAAGGCAAAGATGTTATATCATGAATAAGACTGATATAATAAGACCTTATGGTATTAATAAAAACTTTAAGACGATCACGCTTAATTCCTAAACATTCCTCTTCTAACGCGGACAATCAGCCATTATTACCCATGAAGCAGTGGGAGTCTCTGCCATTTCTCCATCCACATTCAGGGGAAAGAGCGCTCTGAGATAAATGTCATCTTAGATCTGTCAAGGTGAAAGGAACATTTTATCGTTCCCCCGGGAGCAATCACAACCAAACACGTTCCTGGTTAGAGTCCCCGTCTTCTTCGGGTGTAACTCAGATGACCCTTTCTACTCGCTCAGATGTCGCGGCACGGGGACCCCTCTGACCCCTGCCCGCACTGTGTCATTCCTCCCATCGTCACGACGTTAACTGTTTCATTGTTAAGCGGCCGCAGCATTTGAAGAAGTCATTTTGAATTCTGACTACTGAATAATACAGAAACATCATTATCATTATTCAGGTTTATATCTGACCCAATTATATAATAGTGTGAACATTCACTCCTTTGATCAAATTTAGAGTAATCATTTAAACTAACACTTTTTTTAATCAAAATTGAATAATTTATTTTCCTTAGGACCATGGGTGAATATGTTTTCAAAATGTTTTAGAAAATACTATAGCACATGTCATCAACTGGAATATTAAAAAATTAAGAGCTATGATGAATGAATGTGCTGGAAAAACTTTGTCAAAAAGATAATCATACATTAGTTTTTCGACACTCTCCCTGCATGGACATGTGTGTAACTGTATATTTGACTGGAGCCATTAAAGTCATTGTGTCTCTGTTCACAACCCATTAATTATTTTGCCTTTATTATCACTTTTCATCCATCATCCATCTGTTTTTTTGTTTGTTCGAAAGATAACAGCTTTGTCGGCACAAGAAACACCTGGTGATATCAGGAACATAAAACATTGTTTTGATCCTCCCATCATTTAAATAATTTCCCCTTATCTCTACTCTTTGAGTTACATGCTATACCTTGTTGTACCTTCCATCATGGTTGCATTAAAATTCCGAATCTTATCCTATCCTCATGTCTCTGCAATACATCTAGTAACAATGTCATTGCTTAAATCAAAATATGTACACATGTATTCTGCAGGATGTACAAGAAACTGGATGAAGAACAAATGTCCTGGAGGAGACATGTATGGCATCCTTAGTAACACCTGTTTGCATCTCTTTTTGCGTGAAAATGTTTTCGATTTTTACCCTTTACTTGTCTAACAGCGCAATAAAACGTGAACATGAGGAATGATGATTGATAGGTAAAGAAAAGCCTACTAATTGCATTCATTCAGTCAAACAAATACGCAAAACCCTGGCCATCTCTGTCTATGAACACACGCGCATACAGACCCACTGACACAGTCTGAGGCATCCCCGGAGCAGGGATTGGCCAAGAAGCGGAGAGAGAGCGCGCAAATCTTCCCCACTGCTCCACAGCTGTTGTACAGTTACTCTGAGGGGAATGCGAGAGCAGTGTGGTGATGATGACTGGCCACTTGGATTCTTAAACCACCTATAGGCAAGAGAAGCTCTCAATTAAACTTTGTCCCCCCCCCCAAACAAACACATACACTACTTTCACAAACGACCGTGGCTCGTAAATGGATTCAAGACTGCAAATTGGACCGGTCATCCCGACTCCGGACCCAACTGCCCGCGCACCCTGGAACATCAGCTCCATCAACCCGCACCGGCTCATGGAGCTGTCTCCGGGTTCCACAGCTGAAACTGTCAAGGTATAACTCGTGCGTTTTGGAGATGCCTGAAGGTGAAGAGCTCTGTGTGAATGGGGAGTTTTTGCGCTTCTGCAGTGATGCGCCGGAAAATCTGATCCAAGGGCAGCCAAACTTATCCCAGCTGGGCATATTCAGAAATGTCCTTCTTTTTACATCGCATTCGTTTAGTTTCAGATTTCTTATGTGAAAGATACGGTAACTGTTTGACGGAATGAATGAGTGCATGAATGGATGGATTTGTGGATGGACGAATGAATGAGACGGTGTCTCCTGTGCGTCTCTGTTCTGTCAGCACTGAACCTGAATGAAGGTCGGAGCGATGCGCAAATCTAGGAATCTTTATTTGTTCTCTTATTTATTGTTAATTGGAATGTTTCGACTACTTGTGGTTCAAATTTAACAATGGAGTTCATTTTTCTGTGCGCAAAATTGTGGCTAGAACGCTTGTTTTGTTCGTGTATGTGACTGTTTGTTGTCAAAATTCGGGCATCTTTTTTTTTTTTTTTAAATATCCCATTGGCAGATAACAGCTCCCCTTGTTATTGTCGTTTACAGCAATTTCACTCTCCAGCCAACGATGTTCTGACTTGTGTAGGTTAAGTTTGCAGTTTACCCGGACCTCCATTAGCTTTGGTGGGTCAATAAAGCCTCAAATTTAAAGAAACTCTGTTTAAAATGAGTCAATATAAAACCAATTTATTTCATTTTTAAAACATGGAAAATCCAAGATGCAGTTTGTGGAGGCAAACATTTTTTCTGGTATTCGTGCCAAAACATGATCTCTATCTCCCTCTCTGTCTGAGAGTGGGATTAGTTTATCCACAGTCTTCGGGGAAATCCTTCAGAGTCCACCTCTGAAGTGGACGTGTGGAACAGAAAAATGAAAAGACAATATACTGCTTTCATTTTGCTCACTATAAGCCCAGACTGATTCAATGATCTGAGGGAAGGGGGGGGGGGGCTACTAAGGGGTTCATTGCAGCAATAATCGCAGCTCAACAAGTGAGTGGTTCGGTCCTGGGCAGGACCTGAAAGAGGTTTCCTGGAGGGTTCGGTTGATTTCTGTGGTCTCCCGTTGATGGTGAAAGCACAAGGAAATCTGATACTGAAACCGAGCCCGAAGGCAGCTTCCGCAGACACATTGGAAATGTGAGGTCTTGTGCTGAGAAATGTGAGGTCTTGGATTTTTGTAGTCCTCATTCGAGCTCTGCTTTCCATTAAACGCTGTTTGTCCTCCCTGCTTCTCTCAATTTGATATATGAGATCTTGCACGATCATTAATATTTTTTGGATCCAATTTGTCAAGACTGTTGTTTTGTGAGTGTATTTTTATTTATTTTGTGTCTGCTGTTTGTGGGCACACCAAGACATAAGCTGGTGTGGGTTATTAAAATGGTGTCTGCAGTGTTGTTCATAAGAGATTGTGGATGTTACTGTCATTTGTGATCTTTCTTAAAATACAAATAGACAGACTGAATATTTATTACTATCTAGGGGGAAGGCTTAATTCTCAGTGGCATGCACAGGCAGATATCCAGCAGTGGCAGGAAAGCCTTCCTCAATGTGTAATTGTAAATATTGTATTTTGTTATAGGATATAATGTCATTTGAAAGAAACTGCACTGATGTTGATCAGGATCTTTGGGTTTTGGACTACCCCTTTTATTTGGTGCACTCTTCCCCATGCTTTCTCAGTTGAGTTTTAATTCCACTCTTGCGTCACACCAGATAGTCCTTACTGATGCTCCTGATCTCCGCTTTCTGCTTCAGGTTCTCCTTTGTTCAGTGCCAGGCCGTGTTATGTTGGTATCCACCCATGCAAATAGTTTTTTTTGTACCATTGTCTTGCTGTTCTCCTCTTTTATTCCATATGCAGTCAGTTTTCATGTATCTTTGGTTCTGTTGTAGATTAGCTGGAGGGTTTAATCTCTGCCTGTGGCAGCACCTCGGTTTAGTTTTTTCAGTAAATCTCAAGCTACTGCTCACTGCCTGAGTTAGACTCCTCCTTTGTTTCCCTGCCATACAAATGCCATAATCTCACACATTGTAAGACAGTCCTCACTCCGAGAATGCACTGTATTAAGAACAAGACTTGGACTCAGTGTCTGGATGAACAGTGGTTGGTGAAATCTCGCCATCATAAACTCAGAGTAAACACAACTGTTGATTCAGACATGATGTTGCAATGACGGGCACTGCGCATGCTACCATAGACTCTCTTTATGTCATGACCATCACCTCCATGAGCCCCATTATTTGGGAAACAAAACTTTTTCATGTCCACGTTGGTGTGCATTTGTTAGAGATGGAATCTCCTCTCATGTCATTGTGAGAGTGCACGTGTAGCCATTCAGAACAAGAACAGTCTTTAATATACAACTGTCAGTATGGGTGGAAGGTCAAGGGCTTTATTTTCAAATGGTGTCAGTTGCTTTTAATGGTTAAAAGTGAGTGATTTTAACTAACAATGTTGAAAGTATATGTAAAATATTCAGTTGAATTCCAGTGTTAATGATTATAAAAAGGGCATGTTCAGTTATGTTCAATCTCTTCTAAAAAGTCAAAAATGTTCACATCAAGCCATGTTAGAAGTCATCTGTATGGATTTTTGTAGCCTCATTTCATTTTATGGATGATATCCTGCGCTTTACACTAATCCTCTTCTTTTTGTTTGCACTTTTAATGACAGTAGGGGAACACAAAAAATCTGTATTAAATGAGGAAAGTGTACAAGGATGTGTAGCATTAAGATACATTTTGCTGTATTTCTATGGTCATTTTACAATGGATTTCTCAAGGTTTATTCTCACCAAATGTCGTAAATGCGTCAGCAACTTGTCCCCCTAAAGCCTTGATAGGATTAAAAGTTTAACTGATTGATGAATAAAATTGTAGTCTGAACATTTTGTTCTACTGAGGATTTCCAAAAGGATATCCCCTACAAAAAAAGATTTTCTTTCCTATACCAATCGGGACAACTTTGTGTATTCAGCTTGTTTTGTGTGTTTAACACAGCGAGTGTGACTTAGTAACTATATAATCTTCTTTCCTAAAGGGTTTGGGTAAGGCCCTTTCAAGTTATTTTTTCCTATAGTACAATACAGTTTGTTTAACTTTGATTAATATGCAGAAAAAGGTCCTGGGTCTTGATGCTGTATCGCTGAGTCACACTGAGTGTATGATTCTCAGAGTCTACAGCATCCCGTAACGCAAAAATGCCCAAGCACAAAGAGAACAATTTCAATTATCATAACAATGCATTCATTATAATAGATATGATTACAATTTATACATGCAGAGTTATTTTTCAGCAGGTAAAGTGGCCGACCCACTCCTCTGCTCAACCCTTCCAAGTTTGGAAAAGTGTCCTTGGGCAAGACACAAAGAAGAAAATGCCATAAATATATAGAATCAGAGGCACCATATGTAGTGTGTCGGTGAATAAGAAACATGTTGGAAAGTGCTTTGTACTTTGGAACTTAAACATGTTAAAAGAAGTAATGTAAGTACGGACCATTTATTGAATTAGTCCTGAGCGAGTGCTCCTTTTCAGCATCCAAGAATCCCTCTGTAACATAAGCATGTCCTCATGTCTATGTGTGCTGCTCATACATGCTTCTACAAACGTGTTCAGCTTAATCAAATAAGATTGAGTGGTCTCTTCTTTTCCTTCCCCTCCTGTCTCTCCCAATCTTCTTGATACCTAATCTTCATTCTCTGCCTTTCTCAGTTTATTTGTCTTTGTCTTATTCATATGACCATGCATTAGGCAGCAACCAGAGCATTTACATTTATATTACACGCTCTCCACTGATGCTAAAAAACACAGGAGTGTGCACCCACGGAACAAATAGAGAGGTATAACCACCCACCGTTTTTAAAAATCCCTTTAAAAAAAACTCAGAGACTTCCCCAAGCGGCTCGCTGCGCCTTTCCCTCCTGCTCTGCCATGTGATCAGCATTAATCTGGCCCTAAGCAGCTCGAACTCGGAAGCAGGCGACACGAGAGGAGGCACAAGGAAAGAAAGGATAGATCTAGAGATTTAGTGACCAGAAGAACAGACAAGAGCATAGGCTGTTAATCAGCAGTGGCACTGGAAAAGAAAGAGATCAAGCAGGGAGCCGTGGCATGGAAGCGAAAAGGGACAAACGGGATTGGAGAGAGATCTTAAGAAAAGGGGAAGATGAAATGGAGTGTGATCGACCCCGGCACTGGTGACGACACCAGACTGGATGACAGTGCGTCTACATTCCACACGCACGGACACACATTACATACGTCCACTACTCCTCCCTCTTTCAGTAATACAGCAAATGACCCTTTCATTCGTTTGCTTACATAACGGCGCTCCTCTGTACAGTTTAAAGGTCATGCCGCGGAGAGGTTGTGACCGCGCAGAAAAGTGGGACTGCGGAAACAGATGTCAGACAAATACGCTCAAATGTAGCATCCAGGATTAATGAAAATATGCGTGTGCTGTTTGCTCCCGCACACTGGGGAAGCTGAGGAAGATTTAGCTCAGTGGAGGAAGTGCTCGCGATGCAGTTTATCTGTAGGTGTGAGAGTGGGTGTGCATTAGCTCGAAAAAGGCACGGCGAGAGCCAAAAGGGAGTTGCTCATGCAGGGATTGTTTGAGTTTATCTGATATTTCTGAAGTGAAGCACTTGGCAGAAGGAAGATTCTTCTGTCGTACGGGAGCTTTACATTGTTGCCATAAAGTCAAAGAATGATATAACTTAAATCGAATGAATGATTTCTTATTTTCAACTTAATCTTAAATTAAACATAGTGTATTTACAGTTAGTTTTATTGCTAAAACATGTCAATAAAGCCAAAAAGTCACATGATGTTCCAAAATAGGATTTTCTGGAGAGCACAGAATGCACAGAAAAACAAAAAAAGCGAAACCAAAAGCAACAAAAACGCATGGGGAATTAAAAAACGAGTAAAAGTCAGTTTGGAATAAAAGTAATCGCCACGTGCGACTGAAACAGCACTGAGCAGGCGCACGTTTTCATGGGTTGTGCCCAAGTCTCACGTTCAACCATTATTCTATTTTTAGACTGAGAGTGCAACTTTCGGGTTGGCGGCTCTGGTGACTTAAAGAGGAGAAACATGTAGCGAGAGTGAGAGATGTTTTAGTAGCTAAGTAACAAAGCACGAGGGAGAGTAGCCAGACAAGAACAACAACAATATGACACATGGATCTAAACAGGTGCTGAGAAACCGAGATGATTGAACACATAAAAGCACGAGTCTGTGATGATGCTCCGCAGCTTCATAATTGTGAGCCTGTGTGGGGGCAGTAATTCATTAATTGAGCCAGTTGTATGATGACTCAGCGAAATAATGTGAATATTGCCAGCAGATCGCAAAGTCTAACAAAGCTAGAGGACGTCTTGTAAGCTACACCTTCCATCGTAGACACGACACACTGAGAGAAGGAGGATTCTTCAGCTAAAAAAGAAGAATTTCAGTCTCCTGTCTCCGTCAAATTGGATTTCTCACTGCTGCTTCAGTGTTGCCCCCACAGACTGATTCTTAACGGTGGCACAAGTGGCATCATGGACTGAACCCTGAAGCCCATGGACCACCCTGCCAGTCCTCTGCTTCCCATCTGGAACTCTGCCCAGTCAACGAGTGCATGATCCTTGTGTCGGAAATGAATATATTTTTTTTAGCTGTTTCAACACGTTAGTGGAATACGCCAAAAGCAACAAAACACCGACCGAGCCGGAGGAGGAACTCCATTCATTCATTTTTTGTCAGGAAGCAGTATACCGAATTCTTGTGCTGCACGAATGGCGTTGCATTTTAATTTTCGTTTTGAGTGGCTGCTTGAAGAAAGTAAGTGAAGATTTGGGCGAAATCAACTGGATATGTGTCTGTCTTGGCAGCTGCTTTCCCCCCTAAATCCAACACTGTCATTCAAGTCTAGAATATAATTTTTTTCTGTCTAGGATGTGGTTTAGTGTCAAGACACATTCCATGTTTCGTATAAAGTCTATACAGACTGCCGGCTGCCAGCACATTGTCAGCACATTATCATGTCATGGAGTGGTGGTTTATATTCAGATGAAACTAGAAAAAACTAAATTTAAGGTTTGGGAGGTGCTTGCACACAAATTCCAACAATACCAAACGATCAATGATCCCTCTACTCTCCATTTCATGAGGTAAAATCTCAGTTGTGTCTTACCTCTTGTGGTTGAGTGAACATTTCCACCTCTTTCAAATCCTCTAAATGAGTTTTTAAAAAACTGCCTTGAAATAAAACATGAAAAAAAAACATAACTGCTGAACATCATTTCACCTGTGACCAAAATTATTTGGTTACTTACTTACTTTTCACCAGAAGAATGCTCATTGCCATGCATCAAAACTACTCAGCTCGGGTTGGGAAAAGGTCAAGGTTAGAGTTACAATGAGCCCTTTCACAACATTAACCACATGCTAGAAAGCAAAGTTTCCTCGCTTGTTTACAAGGGTGACGAGTGCACCGAAGAGTTACATTCATACCAACCCATGCTGGGTCACAAAAAAACGAAGAAAATAACATTGGCAGAGGTTCTGGCCTGGACTTGTATCCACTCTTCTTACAGGATTGATCTATATACACCCATTAAACGATTTTGTTTGGTTGGAATATTGTTCAAAACAGGGCTCAAGTGGAATTTTCTCTCATTTTCAACTCTTGCTTTTACACTCAAATACATTTCAGTCCAACATTAGAAGGTGTATCAATAAGCTCCATCAGTGTGGACCATTTATGGTCACATACAGGATTGTTATGGGCCCGTCAAGTACAGCCTCGGCCAAACAACAAATTCTCAAAACCAAAACACGCTATGAAACCAGAATCTTTGTATTCACGCAGACGCACAAGAATGAGGCAGTTTGTTTTCTCTCAGCTCAATATGTTTGTCAAAATAATGAATTTCAACTGAAAATTGCTCTGTGTTTCAATGTGTTTTTCCTGTTTCATGCAGAGTGGACTCATCACCTGGGTGGCCAAAAACAGAGACTTTAAGTGTCTGTTTTTACACAACTAATATCTTTATATTACTTAATATTGCCATGTTGAGACTTTGTGAAACAGACGAATGAGACACCCAACCGGACACACTCAGACTTACTCTTATGAGCAATTTAGAATAACCAATCAATGTTTTTCAGACTTTGAAAGGACTGCTGATATCTGGAGAGAACCCAGCTCTCAGCCCATGCAAACTCCACACAGAATGGCTCGAAGCCAGGATTTAATCCAGAAACCCTCTTGCTGTGAGGCAACGGTTCTAATTCCACCGTGCAGCTTAACTGATTTATTCAGATTTTTCTCCCACATTCATTTTCATTCTATCTTAGATGGCATATCGTTCCGTTTAGCATACAGGATATAACTATTCAAAAGAGAGCAGTGATGAAAACAGCAAAGTCCTGTGCTTGTCTGTAACCAGGGAGCCATGGTCCCGGCCCAGCCGTTTCCGACGGTGGACGTCCCGGCCCATGCTCACTACACCATCGGCGTGGTCATCCTCGCCGTGGGCATCACAGGCATGCTGGGAAACTTCCTCGTCATATACGCTTTCAGCAGGTATCTCGCGTCCCGATTTAAGGAGGACTTTTGTGACCTGCTTTGTTGGCTGATGTTTTCATTGTTCAGCGAGGAAGAAGGAATTCAAACAGATGTCTGTGTGTTTGTGAACAGGAGCCGGAGCCTGCGGACGCCGTCCAACATCTTCATTATTAATCTGGCTGTCACAGACTTCCTCATGTGTCTCACCCAGACGCCCGTCTTCTTCATCACCAGCATGCACAAACATTGGATCTTTGGAAAGAAAGGTAGCGCTTTTCTACAAAGACATGCGTTTGCACTATAATTCAATATCATTTGGCACAGCAGTTTATCAAAAACACATATTGTAAACACTCTTCTATGTCTGTAGGCACACATATTTCAAATTCCACATGGACCTGTGCTGTTAACCTTATCCTTTTCAGAGTGACCTTCTGTTCAATAAAGATTCCACTCATGCACATGCACATCACAAACTTTCAATCCCACTGTCACCCATTTTCGGCCGTAATTAAACGCAGCAGAACAAACTTAACCTGCAGCAACATACGTCTTGGTCTCTGAGTGCATGGTAGAATTCCTGCCTGTGGTCTGTTTTACTTTAACAGTGCCATACATCAGGAGGCATTCAGTTACGAAAAGACAGAGGTGGTGAAAGAAGCTCAACACAGACGGCTTCAGTAGCCGTTCTGACCTTGATGAAAGCAGTCAGTTTAGAGCTTTTCAATAATTCTTTTTGAATCTTATTTTCTAGCCATCTTCAGCAGTCATCCACTCACTGAATTTTTAAAGAAATGTCTATCTCCTGTAGTGTTTTTCGAAATATTCCTAATCCCTAAACGTATCAAACAAACTAATTTTCACTTTTTACTCTCTAAATTTCCAACAGGTGCAATTTTCTTACAGATTTTCTCACTTTTGAGACCCTTCTGCTGTATACAAACAGTAAATGAGCAGGTTCAGCCTGCGTTACACAGAGCACAGAACATTACTTATTTAGTTTGTTTTATTGTACTCATAGCAAAAAAAAAAAACTGAAGCGCCAGTGTTTGGAACCTACGGTGTATTTCTGCTCGTTGCACAAGGTTGTCAGCCAGGGGCAAACCCTCCCAGATGTTTTATTACTCTGACCCCAGGGTGGTAGACCAACAGGAGGCACTTCTCCCTCCCCTGGCTCTTGATGCCCTTAGTTTCCCCACTCGGGCTCGGAGCCATAGCCAAAAAACCTTCTTTCTCGGCCTCCTCTGCCGGCTCTTTGACTTTCCAGGAAAGCCTCTGCAGCTGATGTCCACAGGGAAGGTGAGAGCCTTCCACCCTGCATCAGTACGCGCTGCAGCAACCTCGCCGTACTTCTGCTTTTCCTCTTGAACGCTGCCTTCAGCAACTTCAGAACATATGCCGTGTTTTGGGAAATTTGCTAGCCCCTGGAACATGTTTGTGTTTTTGTTTTATGCTTTTCGAAACACAACTCTCTCGCTGTGAATATTTTCTACGGTGATGTTTATTGCGTCCGACGCAAAAAACACAGCGGCAATAATCAGCCTCTTGAAACAATCGAGTTTCTAACCCCTTCAAATATTTGGAATTTTCCTTTAAATTAGGCACAAAACTAATTAAATCAGATATCAACATTAAGGCAGATGAATGATGACAAGGAATAATAAAAAAAAAGTCCGGTTGTAAGGATGGCTGATTGCTCATTCTCTGTCTGACTTTGGATCTTTAAAAATAGTTATTTAAGACAGTCATGCTTTTCATGGTAACTGGATGAAAAAACCCTATCTTAAAGTTGAGTGACAGTCTAAATCAGTGGTGTCAAACTCCAGTCCTCAAGGGTCCAGCAAGCTTTACACGTTTTCCTGCTTCTGCACACCTGATTCTGACTCAACTGGCTCTCCACTTGACATTGTTGAGCTTTGCACAGGCCCGCTAATGTCACAGTGATGTGAATCAGGTGCGTTGAAACAGGCAATCCTCTAAAACCTGCTGGACATCGGCCCTCGGGGACCGGAGTTTGACACCCCTGTTCTAAATTGAGGCTAAAATGGTCACAATGGCCAGCTGATGCGCTCAGTGTTTAATACTGTGTATGTCACTCCCAAAGAGTTTTTATTTGTTACAATAAGCTGAACATTATGAACACGGCTACACTTAATGTAATAACCCATTGTACAATTTTTCTGCATGTTGCTTCTCAGCAGAGCTTCATTACTGTAAATGTTCTCTGTTTTTTTCTTTTTTTTACCTAAATGTCTGCTCTTCTTTTGCCTCAGTGAATGTATATAACACATTGATTTAAGGAAGTTATGATTTTTAATTACTTGTTTGGGTTTCTGCACAAGAGCAACACATTGGAGATTTCATCTTGCCCTCGGATGAGATGAATCGGGGCTGTTATTAGATGACATGTGTGACACGGTTCTGGAGATCACATTCTGAGAGCCTGGGGAGATAGCAGCTGATGATGTGATGACTAGATGTTTACTTAGTCAGTAAGCTGTGTTTCTGTGTGTGAATGGATTTGCCCAAGATGGATATATTTAGTGGTATAATTGGAGACAACAGAGCTGTACATTATGGAAAGAAAAAATGCGTGTTCTGTCAACACTGTGAATGCCTCTAAAAGAACAAGCATACAGAAATGTCTGCGAGTTAGCGTTTCAACATAATTTTAAGTCTCTCTGCATTCTATTTGTAAAACCTTTGTTACACAGGCAAAAGAACTGTGAGGCATTTTGTAAAACCTTGTTTTTGTGGAATCTAAAAGTAAAAGAGACACAAAGTGTGCTGCAAGGCATGGATGACAAAGAAGAAAACAGATAGAGAAACTGTGTTTCTAACAAACTAGTAGAGATCTGTCCTTTCCCTCGCTTGCCTCTCCTCCAGGTTGTGAGCTGTATGCCTTCTGCGGAGCGCTGTTTGGAATCTGCAGCATGATGACACTGATGGTAATTGCGGTAGACCGATATGTGGTAATCACCAGGCCTTTGGCTTCTCTCGGCGTGATGTCTAACAAGAAAGCTCTCGGTTTTGTGGCTGCTGCCTGGGTGTACTCCATGGGTTGGAGCCTGCCGCCCTTCTTTGGCTGGAGTGAGTATGATTACATTCACTGGAGGGAATACACAGTCTTGATTTGTGTGTCTTCTGTGAAGGATTGTGTTTTAAAGAAGTTCTGTTTTCACCTGTTTTACAATACCTGGTGAAAGTTCTAATGTATTATAAGACATTTCTTGTTTACTTTGATTTCAGAAGACAGGTTTGACCCAAGGGTCAACCTTCTAGGTCCTCTGTAGCTGTATAAAAGAGCCTATATTGGGATTGATTTTAGGTTTTAAAACAACTTGCTTCCATTGAACAGTGCTGAGGGAACATGTTGCACACTGTGGATAGTGTATCTCATATCGACGACTATATGAAATGTTTCATTTTAGCACCTGTATCTTAAAAATATCTCTCACAACACTCAATCCTCTTTAATTCATGGGCTGATTTTGTCAAGGATGTAGAATACGATTTACGTACTGTTTTAGCTGTACACAACAGCCACTGAGGAAGGTAATGTCATCAAATAAGGGAGGAAGAGCCCAAACTAAAAACAAGCCTTTTCATGAAGTTACAGAGCTTTCCTGTATTATTAGTACTTTCAGGTGCCAGACTTAAGTTAGGCAAGATTCCCTCCTTGCGTTCAGACAGTTGATTGACACTCCAACACACACACACACACACACAAACACACACACTGAAAAAAAACTGACATGACTGCTAAATAGCTGGATGATGTGACCTGGCTATTTCACAGCCCCTTTGTATGTTAAACATGAAAATGTTGCAGTTCTTTGCTTTCCTTTACTTAAACATAATGAAAATAGCAAGAGTTGTATTAAAAGAAACAGCTAAAAGTTCAGATTCTAACTTTGTTTAAAAAAGCCTTGAACCGCTTTGTGTTTGCACCCTCTTGAACATGAACAAATGCATGAAGAGCGGTTGTAAATCCTTCAAAGGACAACTGACGTCAGAACAAAGCTTTGGAGAGTGTTAGTGATGTGACATCCCTGAAATTTGGCTGCTACCAATCTTCCCCTCACTTTGGGGAGCACCTACTTGCTTCTGTGTAAACTTTACAGTCATACAATCCCTTTAAAAACTCATGCAGGCTGCAAAACAGCCAGTCGTGACAATCTGAGGGAGTACAACTTTAAACAGGCATGAATCCAAATCGCCACATCAAAAGAAAAAGAAAATCTTATTGGACTTCTTTTACGCTTATATGTGGACTCACTGCCAAAGTAAAGAGCTTTGATTTTACTGCACATGTTTAATGACTAATAAATACCCCATTATTGTTATAATTGCAAATGCAATCTGGAGCAAAAGTTTATCAAATTGAAGTGAACAAATTGAACATTGATTACAACATAACACATCGTGCCATTTGTATATTTAAGATGTTAAATATGTTCTTTCTGCATTAGTCTCAATGTATAAAATAGAAATTCAGTGTCTCTGTTTTTATTTAGTGGCATAGATCGGACAGTATTTCACAAAGGCCTCCAACATTAGGTCAGAATAGTTTATTAGGCTCATCCGTGCTTTATTTGATGTTGACAGCTTATCTTATGACCATTGGAACAGATTTTCAGTGAAAGACCACAGGCCCATTCAGAGTGAGCATCACAAGGGTTAGCAACGTCCAGTCACCAGCTGGACTGAGATTCTGAGAAGGCAGGAGGGCAGAGTACAGCCATCTGGATGGTTAGATAGGATGTTACATCACATGTTGTGATAGTTTTTTAACACCCACGTAATTAAGTAGTAAATTGGTCTGTCATTTTTCTAGTAGATGCTTCAATTGATTCATTCACACTTGAGTTGGAGTAACATCAAAACATGTAAAAAGCAATGATTTGCTCTAGTAAGCCTAATTTCTTACTTTTAGTTTTTTAATACGCTGAAATCTGGACATTTTACTAATTGATGAAAAAATATTAGCGAGTTTTATAGCTGTTGTATGTCTCTAAAAAGCTGTGGCAGGGCCATGTTCTTCACTGATTGGTATTCCTCTTTTAATAACTATCTGTCTAAAATCTGGAAACTGAAAACACCAGTAAGCAGACCATTCAGAGGGGAATGTTATCCTGTTTCCCTTTTACATGCAATGATTGAATAAATACTACTATAATTGGATTGTATTTTTACTTGTTGCAGTAGTAAGATGGTTAATACTGCCTTTGTGCTACAAGTAGACAAGCAGTGCCAGCATGAAGAGAACTCTGAAGTTACTGAAGATCAGCATTTTATGGATTATTGTTACAGTCATTTTGTAATAGATTGAACATTTAAACTTTTATTCTTAGCTAAATATATATATGTATGTATTTTCCCCTGTCTAATGCTGTGACTCTGTCTGAAAAAGAAGAATAAATATCTTTATATTTCTGAATAACCAATGTATGAATGCAGAGTCCAAGGTTTTTCAGAGAGGGAGGAGGACGATTGCTCTATAAAGAACACACTCGCAAGAAATACAATGAAACACAAAATTGGTCAACCTACTGCTGTAAGAAGCATTCACTTAAGAGTGTGTGTTCTCCAACAGGCGCCTACGTCCCTGAGGGTCTGATGACGTCGTGTTCTTGGGACTACATGACGTTCACACCTTCGGTCCGCTCCTACACCATGCTGCTCTTTACCTTTGTCTTCTTTATTCCTCTCTTTATCATCATCTTCTGCTACTGCCGCATCTTCCGAGCCATCCGACACACGACGCGGTTGGTACATGTGCACGCATATTGATTTAACTCCGTCGTTTGCATTATACCACTCTTTATTCAACACGCTCCCGCTGACTCACCGACGAACGCAAACCTCTGAGCTATCTGCTTTGTTTATGTAGTGTCACATTGATCAATGGTGTGTATGAGGTCTTCCACTGATTAACTAACCCTGTTCACAACCTGAGCAGCTTCACTGCCTGTTCAGGTAATGAAGTCAAAGAAGAATCTGTGTGTGTGTGGTTTATTGCATTTTTGTATGTTAACAGGAAAATCAATGCATATCTTGCAGAAAAGGACCCAGCTAATATTTCAGTAGTGGTATTATTATTTACTAAGCAAAGTGTTTGTTCATGGCAGAGCAATAACAAAGATCAACTGTGAGGGGACCAGAGACTCTGCAAAGAGGTTCCATAAAATGAGGAGTGAATGGAAGATGGCAAAAATTGCGCTCATTGTTATCCTGCTGTTCATCATCTCTTGGGCTCCTTACTCCTGTGCGGCCCTCACTGCTTTTGCAGGGTAAGTCTATAACCGTGCGTACTTTGTCAAAGCGAGCTAAAGAGACATAACTTACCATTTAGTGCTGTCTAAAAGTCTCCATGAGGACTGACATTTGGGGAAGCTATAACATTTTTTGTGGGTTACAAAGCGGTCCTGGAAGTAATTTAAGATGGGAAGTGTCAGTAAAGCTGCCCCAGGCAAAGGTCACTCATCCATCATACTACTTTATGTTGGCTGTCAATACAGAGATGATCTTAGCAAGGCTATGAAAATTCCTGTGCATCTAAACTCCTCTTAGGGATTACCTGGATTATGTGTTGCAATTTCAAGGCCCAACCAACACGTCTACATTGGAGCATCAACATGATTTTTAATTTAGTCACATTTATGTCCTAATGGACAGCTTGATAGTTTGTTAATGAAAGAGTATCCTTTATTTCTGTGTACCTTTCCACTTAAAACGTAAGTGGCTTTTTTAGTTAACTTCTGTATCCCACACGTTAGCTGAAGAATGATGACAGATGCGTACGATTAATTGCATTACAATAATTAAACTTTTGGTTTTTAATGAGTCAAACACATTTATCTTTCCTCTAAAGTCTGTGATGAACCTCAATATATTATTATTTTGCATCCGACAGCACTTTGGGTGTTTTGTTGATCTTTTACTAGAATAACCTGATCTAGTTGGTTTGGGTCAGAATATCAGGCGATCTGAACAAAGAACAAATTATCTTATTTATGGAGACGACAGAAATATAGTTAGGAAATGCTTGTTTTATGTGATATCTAAACAATACGATCAGAGCATTGGACAGTTTCTCTATGAAAGTCATGTGCTGGAAGGAAAAAATCTAATTATAACCTTGTCAGTCAAATGCATCTCAGTTCCTTTTCTCATTTTTCTTCTTGAGCCCATCTGTGTCTCATCTGTCTCTCTCAGGTACGCTGACCTGCTGACTCCTTACATGAATTCTGTTCCCGCTGTGATCGCCAAAGCCTCTGCTATTCACAACCCCATCATATATGCCATTACACATCCTAAATACAGGTAGGATGTAATCCCAAGTATTGAGTTCAAGTTGAAGGAATACTTTAACAAAATAAGTAATTGTCTAAAACTACCTCTGTGTCTTTTAGAAAGCTAAACTTTCTTTTCTCTCGTGTGTCCGTCTATGCATTTATCAGGGTGTGAATTTGCGTGAGAGACTGAAAAACACTCCCTTGTGCACATGAGGAAGTCCTGTTTGAGTGTGAAAAAAACTGTCCACTGTTGGCTGTGAGTGGCAATGATTTGGCTTTATTCATGTTTGAAGCATTTATTGACCTAAAAGAGCCGTTGAAAACAGTGAGACTCAATGCTTCTTTCTCAGTTTTGCAAGAATAGTAAGCAGTTATACATCAGTTATAAATATTTTCTTTAAAAAAAATCAATTAATCATATATTAACGACCTATGTGTACCCCACCTTTCGCCCAATGATGTGGGTATGACATTAAAATGTTCTCCGGCTTCCTCTCACCATCCAAAATTGGACATTCCAAATTGCCCTTAAGTGTGTGTGTGATTGTGCATGGTTGTTCATCCTAGTCCTGCAATGGACTGGCACCCCGTCTAGGGTGTACCCCGCCTCTCGCCCATTGACTACTGGGTTACGGTCCAGGTCCCCCCGCGCCCTGATAAGGGAATAAGCGGTAACGGAAATGGATGGATGGATGGTTTTGTGTTGGTGACGCTCATATGCAATGTCATGTATGGAGAATGCTTTCTTTCACATCAAACAGTTTCTGTGCTTCTATGAAAATGTAATGTTGCAGGCAAAAGGATAGGTTGGATGGCCTTCATGCATTAGAATACATGATAGCAAAAAGAACCGGATAGAGAAAAAAAAGTATTTTTCTTTCCACTTGTGTAGTGCAGCTGATTCTTATGAGAGTGATGGCTACGAAACATCCACATATTTTCTCTACATAATGATGAGCTGCTTCTCAGCAATGACTCACTGGGAATAAATGCATAAGTTCTTTTTAGATTTTTCGAGAAGAAATTGAGTTTTCTTTTTTTCTGATCTGTTTAAAATTTTGTTGACTAAAGCGAATAAATCCTGAACTTTCATTCATCGGATACATGGCAGTCCCATTATAGACCCAGATTAGGTTTGATTATATGATTTAAAACATATCCTCATGCATCATCAGCACCACTACATCGCTGTTTAGGGGAGGGGATTTAATCAGCCTGCAACACAACTTAACCCACACTGAAATTAAACATTTGCTCACTTTACGAAAGTAAATTAAAACACGTCTCTATGAAACTGAAACATTGTTTCTTCATCAGCTATACGTGTTTTAAGTAAAAGGAACCTTTAATGAACAATTTCTGTTGTATTGAACTTGATATGTGGTCTCATCCAGTTGGAACTAAGTCTGTGAGTTCATGAGATGACACCTCACAAGGAGAACACCAAACCTGAGCTGTCAGAGATTTAATGAATGTCTGATCAATGGCGCTTAATTTAGAGTCCCTGAGTCTAATTTTATGGATTTAAAGGTGTGATTAATGAGTGTATAAGTGACCTATGTCTGTGGGCACTGTTGTCACGTGTTGTATATCTGGTACTGACGATATTTTAGTATAGAGGGAAACTATTTACTATATGTTTAAGACCAGAAGTATCTTGACCTTTAAAAGTTTGTGTGAATTGCATGTTTTGTGCTCTCCTCATTCTAAGAGTCAATAATCACATTTCTGATAGTGCGTGTTTAGTTCTAGTTTTTTTACGCCAGCCAGAGTTCTATTAATGTGTTTTGTCAAGGTCTTGTGTATATATAGGAGGACTCCCCCCTGTAGAGTCATCACCTTAACGTGGTGGAGGGGTCTGAGTATTCCCACGATCCTGAAGGCTACGTTGTTGGGGCCATCAGCCTCAGGTAAACCTGGTGGCTCCAGCCTTTACTCCTTGATTTAGTTGGACTGACCTGTGTGTGGGTCAGGCTTTGCTGTCCCAGAGATCGTCTAAAGTAGCCGAGGTTGTGGTGCTCAACTGGAAAATGGCAGACGTGTTTCCTTGGATTGGAAATGAGTCTCCCCCCTAAGCAGAAAGGGGGGTGGTCTTTTTCCCAAGTAATGGCAAATTGGAGTGATAGAGGGACAGATGTATTGGGGATTCGTGTTGCTCTGGTCCATTGTGGTGAAGAGGGAGCAGTTTTGGAAGGCAAAGCTCTCAGTTTACTGCTCCGTCTTTGTTCCAACAGTCACCTATAGCCATCAGATCTGGGTTGTGATAGAAAACAACAAGACCGCAGATACAAACAGCTTAAATGGGTTTGCTTCGAAAGACTAGTTTGACTCAGGTTTGGAGATAGGGGGTGAGAAGCTCGCCATCTGGAGGGAGCTCTGACAAAGATGGAGAGAAAAGATGGAGCTTAAACAGTGAGGAAGAAGATTAGTGAGTGGTGGCGACTTAGGATAATTACACAGGTGAATAGAGTAGTGCGGATGACCAGCACAGGGAGGAAATGAGAAACTAATTCTGACCAGAATCTGATACTTAACAGAAACCAGGCAAAGGAAACACATTTAGAGCATAGAAAAAAAACACATTAGACACTGAAAGGTAAAAAAAAAACTTTTAAAAAATTACAATAAATAAAACAGAATATGTTGGACATTATATTGCTGCTGCAACGGCAGGTCACATAGAGCCACAGCATCCTAAGCACTCACTTTAAATCCAAATTTAGAAGGAGTGAACAACAGGACCAGTTGGCTAAGGCGGCTTTTCTATATTTTCTTCTCTTGGCTACAAAGGAACAGCAGAGGTCACTTGTTTTAATGTCTTTTCTGAAGTAGCCTCAGCTTAATATCAGGGGACATTTGGGAACCCCACGCCTCTCTGTCGTACCCTGAGAGTCATTTCATTGTTTTTTTTGATCGCCCCCGTCTCTCTCAGGTCAGCGATCAGCAGATACGTGCCCTACCTCGGCGTGCTGCTGTGCGTCACTGGCAGAGACCGCTACAGCAGCAGCAGCCTGCAGTCCACGCGCCGGTCAACCCTGACCAGCCAGTCCGAGTACAAAGGCCCAAGCAAGCCGCGCAACTCGTCCCTGTCTGAGAGTGAATCAGTGAGTGTACTTCATATCTAATATGGTATGTCTTTGTCTTACACCTCCTTCGGCAGAAGCATGTGAGTTATGGGTTGCTGACTTTGGTCCTGTGTGTCGGCCCAGGCTCGTTTCTCAGACACGGAGGAGGACTGCTCATCTCGGACACCTGTTAGCCGTCACTTATCTGTTGATGTCAGACAGGTGCGCCATACCAGCCAGAGGTCAAAGGTGAGTGGTCGTAACGCAGGAGAGTTTGAGAGAGCTGCTGCCCACAGCCCGTCTGACCCGGCCATATGTCACCTTTCACAACTCACTGTGAGTAACCACTTGACGTGTGTCAACATATCATTAGACAGTTGTGCACTCATTCATACAAAAGTGTGAGTTAGACATGTTTTTTCCGCAGCCTGAAAAGCATATATGTGTAATTACTTTGAATGCCATACTGTTAACAGGCACCAAACATTTCTTAGATAGAAATTAACTGAAAATGTTTCAACATGTCAACGAGCTTATGAAAAATTTGACTTAAAGTCTAGTTTTCTGAAGCCCTGTTAAAGTCAGTAGAAGTCATCTCTCCACTTCTCAGTTTGAACTGAATAGAACTGTATTATCTCATATTAATACAGTATCTTAAATCTACTCATTGTCATGGTCTCAGTCTGCCTGCACTATTTATGACCATTCCAGAAGTTCCATTTATGCATTTACTTGTGTGTCCTGTTGTTAAGCTTATTAGATAAATGTTTCATTGTTATCGAATGATGTGCTGTTACTATCAAACTATTGCTACTATGTTAAAAGTAATCAAACATGCAGATAGCCAAATACATTTATTATAGAAGTTTTTGTGTTTTCAAACCAAATCAAAGTGCGAGGTCATTCTATGTGAACACCCAGCTCTCTGTAATCATTTTAGTTCACAGAAAAGAAAAAAAAAACAGAAAGATAACCCGCATGCATGTGCATAAGCAAACCCACACAGACAGGCACACTGACATGCAGGTCAGAATTTATCTAGGATTCCATTACACTGGGTTTGAACACTAATCCAGTAATCTGGGACTTTCAATTTTAATCCACAGCTTGCATGATGTGATTCGATGTTTCAGCACGCTGCACTTGTTGATGGACGGCACTGATTCTTAAAGCGCTGTTAACCTCTATTTGTCCCATCACTGCACGGCAGAGAATTTATATATATTTGGCCATATAGCATTCAAGAATTAACTCGACTTGAAGCAACACAAAAATGAATCATCATTTTTGTTGTTGGTCGTTTTCTGTTTGTTCTCAAAAGTTAAATGGATGAATAATGAGGTGATTCAAATGAAGCTGTTTTTTTATGGTGGAGTCTTCAGAATGACTTCAGCAGTCTCACAAACCAGAGGCATAAACAGCCTGCACACAGTGGAGCTGCTGCAAAAATCTGCATTGAACACCAGGGCACCATGAAACTCATGGGCCATCCTAGCTAACGGTTATTTTTAGACTATTAATTACCAGTTTGGCTCCCTCATACACAACTTGACTGATGAATAGTAAAAGCTAACACCAACAGAATGAGAATTAGACGTTTTGAATCTGCACAGGCCTCTCCATGATTCTGATGTCCAGCACATCGGTTCTGGCATTACTGCCCGTGTTTCTGATCACCTTCTGCATGGCCTTCCTGGTTTGGACAGCACATGCAACGTTGATTTACTTAATACAAAAGTTTTTTAATCATGAAAACAGTTAGCAAAAAGCTACATTAATTCAACACTTACCCAATGTCTATGAAAGATGCTTTTTGCCATGGTCCCCGTCACTGTGGTGGTTCAATGTATTTTGCAATGTGTAGACTGCACTAATTAGCTGCTTACTGTAGCTTGGTCATTTTTTACATTTGTTATTCTTGCGTAAACAGCAAGAAAACACATATTAAGTGCTGTTTGCTGTCATGGATTTGACATTCTGCTTGTGGCAGCAGGAAGGAGCCTTCCTCTCTGATTATTCATGATGAACCTTGATCATATTAACCTCCCAAACACACCAAAAATCTGTTAATCAACAAATTCTATGAATGCTTTAATATCTTTCTGTTTGTCGTGTTACAAGTTACATGTTAACTGTAAAGTGTGCACCACTGTTTCATTATAAACATGTCTGAATGCTTAACTGGTCAAGCATTCAGACATGCTTGACCAGTTAATCTGATTCTGTTGGAAGAGGAGCCTGAAAGCAGCTTATTAAACTGCACATGCTGCTTGTTTAGTTCCATATTCAGATAGAGTTTCTCTGGATCTGCTGGGACTGACCTCGAAATCCAGCTTCTACAAATGATCTTTTATGTGTGACTGACTCTAAAAGGCTGTGTTTGTGTTCACACTTTTTCAGACTCCGACAGAACCTGAAAACATCTGCATGTCGGACATCAGGCAGCAGCCAACCAGCCACCTGCCTGCCACTGTAAGAAATGACAGATCTTCCAGCTCTGATTGAGAAAAGTAGCCTTTTTTATGTTTGTTTTCATTTTTTTTTGTGTTTGTTTTTGATGAAAAACAATGCAAACTGAAAGCATCAACAATTAATACTTTAGTCTAAAAACTACAACATGTTGTCATCCCATTTTTAGTCATGCAGTTTGTTCCTCACAGATAATAGTAAAAAATCAGAAACAATTATTAATAGTCAGTTTTATTTCTATATACTGTACAGCGTACATGTTTGTGTGTGTGTACGTGTGTATCTCTCTAACAATATTTTTTATAAAATACATGTATTTAACTTTTAAAGTTCTAATTACACAGGTAAAACTATCCAGATTAAAGTTTTTTTCTCTTCTGCCTTTGGTCTGCTTTTATACAACAGAATTGTGTTGTTTGTTTAATATAAGATTAGACCAGAGACTGTCAAGAGAAAAACACTTTAATTGCTTTCATGGGATGATTTTTTAAAATGTTTTTATAATGAGGATTACTTGTTAATTTGATAGCCAAATATATGAATCATGCATTTATAAAAGACTTGGAAAGTGTTACTGTGACAGCCAGGAATGTTAGTTTTAGCTATAAAAATCTAACCAGTGTGAACAAAGAATTGAAAGATTTCTAGCATTGGATTTATGGTACAAGAGTGTTGGAGCTAGGTGCACAAATGTTGCAGGTACAGAGGACCATTAAAATAGAAATATACACATTTTAAAAATGTGTTTGAAGAACATCTGCTCCTCTCACATGTTTTCAGTAGACACACACATATATATATTTACTGACCAATCAATCAATCAATCTTATATGTTCAATTTTAACGCCTAAACAAGACTCTCAATATCACTGGACTAATTACCAATGTTTTTATATTTAGTCTTTCTAATCTGTTCTAAGTTTTAATCCATGGTGATAAAAGTGACTCCCACCGTGTATTTTAGTCATGTTTAACGGCTGGGAAAGACTCTGCTAATAAGGCTTTGAAAGAAAACAGGAATCAAGAAACAGATGTTAACAGTTAACATGAGATGATCCATATGTATGTATGTATTTCCTCCCTGATTATTCCCATGTAAGGCTGAATACTATATATTTTTTATTCATCAGTTTTTGCTCTGGTTATGACTCCGAGACAGACATGACAACAGAGCAGATTTACCTCCTTCACAGATGAAACTTTTCTTAAACTGAGGACCGTTTTTATTTGGTGGAAAATGTGGCTTTTTTTTGCTGCACCTTTCATTTTCATGCCTATTTATGTGTGTTGATAGCATCATTTTTTAATGCAAATTATTTGCTGATGATCTGCTCTTAGAGTGTTTCATCATTATTTTTACTATTGATAGCTGTGCTGGAGGCAGAAATCTGTGTAGTCAATAACTAAAGGAATTCAACTGAGACTGAAACGATGGCAAAGTAATAACAGTCCACTTTTTTCAGCTTGGATTATATAAATTGAATGATGTGAAGGAAATCTGTAGGGGATGTATTCCTGGCTTGATTTGTCAGATTTTAAATACATTTTCTCCATTAAAATAATCTGATCTTGCAATTGTGCAATATAATTGTTTAAAGGGACATGCCACTCGTTCTACAGTGTCGAGCTGTTAAAAGAGATCTCTGAAAGCATCTCTGAAAGACACAAACAGTGTCGCTGAAGTCATTTTTCCTTTGCCGCCTTTACTTGATCCAATCAACCTTTTACTCAACCCAGTGAAGTTTAATTCATTTCTGATATTGAAATGAATCAGCATTCAGATAATCAAAGGCTTAGCTCCCAGTTCTTATCACCTGCTCCGAACATTCACACCCAAACCAATTGTGTTGCGGCTGTCCTCCGTTGATCTTTAATAATGTGTGGAGTGGTTTGATTCCGGAACTAGCTAACATTGGAAAGTTTCAACGGGAAAGAGGACATACATTGAATATGTTTTAATTTGGTCGTTTTCTAACGACCATTACAAACATTAAGATCCTGTCACCAAAGAACACCAAATTTGAAACATCTGGTTCTGGAGGTCAGCTTTGGTGTTCTTTGTACACCAGACCGGCACTTTTCTCTCACACAAACACCCACACACCGACTCACGTGTTCTCACAATCCAAATGTTGAGCGTGCTGTAAATGAAGGTTGTGTGAACCCGTCTTTCTGCCTACCTTCACAGCTGGATAACGTGATGAGGGAGTCATCGCCAAGGTCTGCTTTTAGGACCCCCTCATCCATCATTGTCACCTCCATATCAAGCCCATCCATACTGCACAGTCCCCCCGCTTTTCACGGCAACCTCAAACTGGCCAAGACCTGCAGTCCGGTCAGTAAGGAGCTACTTGACATAGTGAGGCTGGAGACGACAGCACTGCCATGAACACCAAAGTACAACATTGTGAACTTGTGTCGATGTAAGCTTAAGTATTTTTCTTCATGGAAAAACTATGTTCACGCACGTCGTTGGCAAGTTGTGGAAGCCTCCTTTTTTTCCTCTCTTTCGCATGCGGCGTAGATGTGAGTGAGTGTGAGTTGCCCAGTAAATTTGACAGTGCGTTTGCGTGAGTGGGTGTTTGATCACTCATTTGTTTGATCTTTTCCGATCCATCACGACGGCTGGAGTTGGTTTACCTCAGAGCTTGAAACAGCAAATTAGCCTTAAAAACACTGTGTCAAGGGTTGCATTTCATTAGGAAATACTTCATGAAAAAGTGCTTTGCCATAATTCACACTGCATGATTAATGAATTATAAGTGAATTCTTGCTGTGTATAATCTGAATGGTTGCCGTTAAATGCTCCTCGCTAATTATGAAGGTTCATTTCTTTCCATGACCGCCTTCTCTGGTCATAGTCACAGCATTAAATCACATGTGAATAGTTTTGCTTTTTCAACCTTGACTCAAATCATTCCTGATTACCCAAAACTTTAGTGATCCTTTATTTTACACTTTATTTTGCAACTACATGTGGGTTTAGTTTTTACTTTGTTTTGGTTGATAAAACTGAACAACCTTGCTGCTTTCTTTTTTTTTTGCTGTTGATGCCATGTTTAATATTAGCATATTGCACATGGGCAATGTTTCTTTCATTGCATCCAGGAAGTATTATTTTTAATCAAGAAAATAATATTCAAGAGAAGCTTAATAATCGTTACATCTGATTTTAAAAAACTGAAGTGTGCAATCGGACACACACTGTGTGTGCTTTGTCGTCCTTTTGTTTCTTTGTTTTTTATTGTTTGTTTTTCTAATACAACAAATCAGACTCGTCAGGATACAAATGTGTCACAATACCCAGCAACATAGTAGTAATTGTGTGTCTGTGCCTGTCTGCACTCAGAAACTGGTCTCAGTACTGTATTTTAAGTACCCTTGATGCCATATTTTGTGTTGTTGTTTAGATACACCAGTGACAAGTTGGGTAATGATTTCATGGCTTTTTATAATCAGCTTTTTGTCACATTTCCAGAGCTATTTTTTTTCTTCACTTCTGTACATTGCTTTTCCCTTTGAGATTTCTAAAATGTGCTGCGTCTTTGACTATGATTGTAACGTAACTGTTTTTTGGCACCTCAAAATGAAGTCTGATAATCTGTTGAAATGTTTGTGAAACAATGAATAATGAAAGTATAAAAGTCAGAGCTAATGAGACAGTATGGGGGGGAGGGGTGAGGATAGCTGGGGGGACTTGATTCAGTCATTTTTACTCTTTTTCTTAAATGTTTTCTTCAATGAATGTAAAAAAAGACACTATAAAGTACACGATGGGTAGATTAATGTCATGACCACAGAATAAATATGATTACTCTAAATATATTCAATTTGAATTCTACTTTACTGAAGTGATAGCTTCATGTTGATTTTGTTTTGTTTGTACAAAATGTTTTGTGTTTTTATTTATTTTTCTAAATAAAAATATTAATAAATCCTAAAACACTGTCTTTTGTCTCACCATAGTTTGTAATATTTGACTAAACAAAACATATAATCCAGAGACGTTTTGTCTGACTTTACACTTTAAACTACCAAGAAAATAGAAAAAGAACCAAATCATTGCCTTTCAGATATGACTACAGTATTATTTCAGTGGATGTTGAGTGGTGGTCCCTGTCACTGCCCCACTATCCAACGATCCTGCTCCTCTACAACATTTAGTAACAATAACTATAATTTCATGCACAGCTGTGAGAACCAGACAGTGATTCTCAGAAAAGGGAAACTAAATCATACAAAATTGCATTCAAGTATCATAATGCAAATGCTTTTACTATCTTTCTCTCTCCGTTGCTTTCAGCAGTATTAGAAATGCACGGCTTATCCAGCCTCTTTGCTTGGCTGAATCCTCATATTCGGAGGGACAGCGCTCGAATGTGCAAATTGCTATCGAGAGCAGGACAGAGAGAAAACAGGCGTTGAAAATAAACTGATGGACATGCCTTCTCGTCCTCGTTGTGATTCCCAGACAAATGATTGGAGCGGTATCAGAGAGACTGCATTTAGCTGAGAGAAAAAGCCACATTTACAAAGCAGCTGTCTGAAAAATGAAAACTGAAGACATTTATTTTGCTGTGCCAAAGCTTTCCTTCAGTGGGCAGATGTTCAGCTGCCAACACACTGCAGAAGTGTGGCCGGCCAAACAAACCATTCCTCTGCTCCTCTTGGAGGAGAACAATCCATGCACCTGTGCAGCCTGCACACTCACTTGGGGCTAAAGACGGACTGAGTTGACTCCAGTGCAAATATAAATATTTAGGACATGAGGTCTCTCACTTTAGCCGCCATGAAAATCAGAATTTTGCTTTTAAAGAGGATTGTGGGACAAGGTTATTCCAGAATTTCTGTTCATAGGTTACAGTTGATATAAACGACTCATTTTCTTTTAGTTAATAACGATTTAGAATAAAAAGAGATGGTTCATCCTTGTCATCTTAACAAGGACACTTAAGTGGTAGTAGTCATTTTCAGTTCAAACTGCACAAGCAGTTTAATACATTTTTAAGGTCAAACATCATGTGAGATTCACATTTACCAAGGGTTTTAAAATATAATACATATTTCCCAGCTTGTCAGTGCAATTGTACACAGAGATAAGATAAAATAAGTCAGTATTCACATCATACAACAGACAAATAACATGATTCCAATGACTGTCTACGGTCCACAGATATCAGGGTTAGAATTTGGCCTAAGCAGCATGGAGCTAATCGTGAGACTGAAAAATGAGCAGATTTAATGTGATTTATGTCTGAACAATATGCGTTACATACTCAGTTGAGACGGGAGAGGAACAAAGTATGATTGTTGTATGAAGTGCTTAGTTAGTGAACACCTCACACTGTAGCGGCGTGTGCAAACGTCCTTCGGATTTATAGTAATTTGATGTTTTGTCTTATTTTAGGAAGAAATAACTGCTTTCACCTCCTTGCTGAGATTCAAGTGAAAAGCTTGATTTTAGTCTCAGTTACTGAAAATGTGAGGCGCATGGCATGAAGTGTTTACCATCACACCGGGCGCCGCTCTTCAGCTCAAACCTGTGAGCGACTGATCAGCAGAGAATTTCAGAATAAAACATCTAAAGCAAAAAAGTGAAGCATGAAAACATCTCTGCCGTTTTGTGCCCGTGTAACCTTAACAGCTGTGGTTGACTGCTAATTAAATTCTTGCTCCATATGACAAAACCCACACAACCAGAGGACTGGCAGCCTAATCAGCTCGGTGGGTGTGTTTCCAGGGAAATCGGCGCTGCGTAATTTACTGTTTCCTTTCTTGAGAGGAGCGAAACACTGCTCGACAGGAGGGCAAACAACATCAGCGTACAAAGAACGACTGCAGATAATAGGGTGCTGGCAGCATTTACTGATAGCGCTAAGAGAGGGAAAGAGAGAGAAAGAATGTGTTGCAGTAAGAGCGGGCTATATTGGCGATGTGAATCGGCAGTGAAGCATTCTGGGGCTTCGTGTTACAGGCCTTATACGGGGCCGGGGCCCCTGTGTCTCTGCTGGTCTCTGCTATTCTTAGCCTGTCTGTCCCTCAACCTCAGCAACCCTACAGGCAAGAAATTCTTCTCCACCCATAGTTTAGGTATAAGGTTGTTATTTGAAGCTTTGCGCTCTCACAGACCTGAGGTATTAAGATAGTTTGCGAATTCGGGGGTCAGGCTCTGGGAGGATTGCCTGTTTTTGTGCAGTCGCTCAGCTGTGCCCTGCTCTCTTTTCCTGTGTGCAATTCGCATGTGTACTTGTGTGTTCGAACGCGTGCCTGTGGGTTCATTTGTGTGTCTTCAAAGGTTTCCACAGCACCTGACCCACCCACTCACCAGCACCACCACCGCCCCAGGCTGTTCGTCCTGAGAGCTGGGAGCAGACCAAGAGAGACGGTTGTGAACCCGGGGCTGACTGAGGAGGAGCCATCGTTGAGGCACCGACTGGGACAAAAGGATAGCAGAACCAGGGCGAAACATCCAGGAGGAAGCGCACAGTCAGAAGGAGTTGTTAGCAGGTGGAGTGCTGACATTTAACAGAAGATGAGTACGTACACAGTGACTCTGAATGGCCCTGCTCCATGGGGCTTCAGACTACAGGGAGGGAAGGACTTCAACATGCCGCTCACTATCTCCAGGGTAAGGCAGGAACACACGCACAGGCTGTCATGTGCTGGGACTAAATGACTTTCAAACAAAGAGAAAGCAAGGTGCAGTGTGGCTTTTACAAGGTGATTCAGTCACTGACAAACTGACAGACTTTTCTCTGTCAAGCTGAATTAGACAGTAATAATTAACATGAGCGGCCAACATTACTGCAAACACGAGGTTCTTTGCACCTCGCAGGTGTCTTATCTTCAAAAACCTTACATCTTGAATATCTGGTTCAAATGATTTAGAATAAAAAAATAAATTAAAATCGAACAAACAAATATTATAGTTCTATTCACTTCCTTTTCTGTTTTTTCATTGAGTGTAATCTAATAATTACAGTCTAATAATTTACGAATAGTTCATCTGAGCCTTTAAGCAGTTAAATGTAATCTGGTCATCTAAATCGGATCCTTTTTAGCTCACGGCGGTGCTTGTGCAAACCTTAAATGTGTGTGATATGCATGTGCACAGGTGGGATTTAGGTTATTTGTGAGCGGCAACAGAACGGCGGTTATGTAATGTTGCTGTACGTGATGATGACAGGGGAGCTCGGATATAATCGCCGTAGAGATTTCGAGAATAGAGCAGCAGTGGAAAGACAGGAATAGTTTACCGCCAGGGGTTGTTTAACTTGTCAGCTTTTACTGCTGTAAATAATGGGTGAGAATGCTGCTTTAGATTAAGTTTAATGATAAATCATTAAAGCCGGTTTAAAAAAGAAAAAGTGAAATCTGATTTAGTGTGGAATGCGAGATGATGTTGATACTTTGATGTATCTTAACTGCCAAATCTCCAAACTAAACTTTATACTGTAACGATGTTACACTGATGGAGGTTTAGTCAAACAGAAGTATCTTAAAATATTTGTTAGCCAATCTTAAAAGAGAAAAGGTAGCACATTATGTCTTTTACTCATTTAAAGAACTATTCTGAGCCAACAGTTTGAATTGCATTTGATCAAATAGTCATTACAAATGCAGTGTACAAATCGGTGCTCAGTACAAATTGGGCACCCCTTGGGCAGGAACGCCGTAGTATTCAAAGTCTTTGCTTTAAATAGCACTGGAGCAGAGATAGATGGATGGAGCGGGAAAGAGACGAGGACTCTCAGGAAGCTAATGGCATCTTGTGTTACCTTTGGTAAGCTTAATTCCTCTCTGCTGGTCAGTTTCATTTCCAGCTACTGAAGCACCAGAGTAGGAACAGATGGGGTGGAGGCTTGATCCAGGAAATGAGAGAAGAAGGAAATGGGCGGGGGCGGGGTCCTCACCTGAGCAGAGCACTCTGACTGATGCTTAAGTTTTGGTCATGCTCTGTTATCCCCACTTGCATTTCCGAACATTTGCTTATTTTTCCTTTTCTTTTTTTCCTGGTTTAAGCCGCTCATGAGGGTCTTTAATCTGATGCCCTTTAACTCTGTATCATGAGATGTGGCTCCGTCCTCTGGTTGTGATGGACTCTGGCAGGTTAACATAAAACATTGCAGCTTGACGTGACAGCTTGGGATGACATTACAGTTTGACGTAGCACACTACGGTTTGGATTTCCGTCTACTTTTGCCAAGAACTAAGAAAAGAAAGCGGAATGAAGACTGTGGATTCCTTCCGTGCTGTTAGCCAAAGTACAGGACATTGAATCCGCAACACTGTACATTGATTTTTAGTTTTGATTAATTGGCTAATCAAATATATACTTAGTTATTTTTCCTCAAATCCTGACCTTCAATTTCTAAAGCGCTCTGATTGGCAACTGAACTGAGGCACCGTAGAAATACATTACTGTGTAAAAAAATATATATCATGACTAAGCTGTGTAAAATATACGCTTGGGTTTTTTTTTGTATGCATTAAAACAAGCATTTGACATTTTATTAATAGGACAATTTTCTGTTTGACACCCGGGACCAATCGTCAAAGAGTCATAAGTAATCTCCATCTACTGTTTGTCATCTGATATATCCGAAGTCTTTGATGCATATAAAAACATGCACGAAAACATCAGACAGGCAGAGATGTGTGTGTGTGTGTGTGTGTGTGTGTGTGTG